GAAAGTGACAAGAATTTGATAAAAAGCAGATAAGGATCAGTTAAGAATCCTGTAAGAATTCGACAAGAAAAGGGCAAGAACTGACAAAAACTTCCGATGGTTGTTTTCCTTCTTCAGTTAGCTGTATAGTTCATTAGTAAGTGTGTACGAGGTTGCGAGGCATTTTCAAAACGATCAGTCTTATCTACGTTGAAGAAACTTTGAAAAAATTGCCACGAAATCAATGGTGCTTATATAATATGTGCTTCTGCAAAATAAAACGGTGATTGGCTTTTAGTAAGACTTTCATAAGAAAGTGATAGAAGCGTCTTATCGCAGTCATAGCTCATTCTTATTTAAATCTTACCTGATTCTTATCGGATTCGTACGAAATTAATGCCATTTTCGTGAGGACTTCCTATGCAAGAATCCGATAAGACTCGGATAAGTTTATTACCAGAAATAACGAAAAATGTTTGTCTAGGGATGACATAGAGCTGAGAGAGCTAATAAATGGGCAGGCACAATAATACGAAATTGATTCTAAGTATAAATGTAAAGAAGACAAATAAAACGCTTGAATAAATCATGAATATATCGTCCACAGATTTTTTATGATAACATTCTTAATATTAGCCGCGATTGATGAATTGTGGTTTATGAGTTGATGAAGGAGAATTTGTGTTTCTTTTTGATATAAAGAACATTTGAGAAAATAATGTAAAACTGTTTTCTTTGAAATAAATTCACTGGTTACTTTTTGTTTTGTTAGATGACAGCCTCTGTTTTTAGTTTTGTTAGTTTGTCTATGAAATTTTTTCTTCGGTTAGCTTCGGTTATCAAATATCTCGAACCAACACATACCGAAATGGAATTAAAGGAATAACAGCTAAATTTCTAAGAATGTTTCGGAAGCAATAAATTTGATGTCTTTTAGTTGTAAAGTTGATCAGTGAAAAGATTTTTTTTTGTTTTTTTTCGCCAGATTAACTGGGTCAAACAAGGTCAAGTTCGAGCTAGCTCTATGATTTTCTTTCTGCTAGGGATGCTTAGATATTGGTTTAGAATGAAAAAACACGGTAGAATCATTCTCTTCTTCACGAAGTCAATCAAGATATGTCTGATGTCAAGGTTACCCAGTCAGTCACCTATATGATTTGAAAATTCGTTTTAACGCGGTTTTAGCCTCAAAATATCGCGCGAACCTGTGTTTACGAAAAATTTATCGCGAGAAATTCGTTTGAAAAAAGCGCAAGAATCGCGTTTCACGTAATCATGGATTGCGTTAAACGCGCTAAATTTTTCGTAAACAGAGTTTCGCGCGATACTTTGAAGCTAAACTCGCGTTTTTTCCTGCTTTTTTTAGAAAATTCGGTTTTTTGCGGTACCTGAGCCAATCTCGCGTTTGTCGCGTTGCATTGCGTTGAAACACGTGTTTCACTCACTTACTTGTTATAGAAACAGGGTTGCCAAGTGCAAAATCCGCAGTTCGAAAAAAATTCCGTCAAAATCGGAAAAAGTCGGAAAAAAATGGTATTGAAAATCGGAAGAAGCATTTTTTTTGAACACCTTAACAAACTAAAGATATCAGGCGTTTTCTGCTACAGCAATACATGTTCGTTCAACAGAAAAAACAGATTCAATAACAGTTAAAAAAACTAATATCTGAAACACTGACTGTTTCTTTTGTGATTTTCTTTTAACTGTTTATACATGAAAAACACTTAAAACCAGTGAACTGTAATACAAATCGAAACAGAACATACTACGTCTTATGAATACGTGGATTTTTTGTTATATGTGTGTATTTGTTTTTGACTACGTACCGCTTTTAATAGATCCGGTTTAGATAGAAACAAATTATAAAACTGTTTATAATCAATATCTGCATTGTTCAATCTTATTTTCAGCTAAGCTGAAGTGAGTTCCGGTGCCATTTTGTTTCGTGTGTTTGTCCACGCTTGTTTCATATGATTAAAGACACCTTCACAATAACCATTGGATATTGAAATTGAAAAGCAAAATGAAATTAATTGTTTTAAATTTGGTGCTGGCTTATCATGTACATGGAACAAATGAGCCCATAATCGATCAGGATAGATTCGTTTTGTTTCTTCTTCCTTCGTCTTCCCGTCATCCATATCTTTTTTCTCTTCTTCCTTGTCCTCTTTGTCATCATGTTTAATTCCTTGTTTATTTTCACGTAAAAATAATTGTATTTGCTCATGTAGTGGTCTACCTTTCTTGTTTAATACAATATAGGTCGTTTGAACTTCACACAATTCATCATACAATTTATCAATATCAATATTTTCTATTTTAATTGCGTCGACGCATTATTCAACATCATTCCATGAAATCGAATCAATCGAAATATTACCCCATACCGATAAACTCTTATACAAGTTGGCATTTTCATCAAAATACGTGTGAATATAACTGATTATGTTGTTGATGAAATTTTCAAATGATTTTTCTAATTTTTCAGCATCCTATTTGTTTATTATTCTTAACCTTTCCCGTGATAAATAGCCATACTATTTATCATCTAATCTTTTTTTCAATTTAATCAAAATACTTGTTATCATTCGATGGATATCAACGGCTGTACAATGATGATGTTGACGTCAAAGAGCTGATCGTTGCATTTCAAATAAAATATTTTCTAAAAAGTACAATGTACAAATGGATTCATCCAATGTGAAAAAACTATTCAATATAGCTGGACAATCTTCGCCAAGATTGAGAAAAGATGTTCCAACAGCTGGATAAACTTTTACTAAACGTTCGATTGAATTAAACAAATTTAGCCATCTAATTTTTATATGCTGTAATAATACCTGTTAGAACAAAACAAAGTGAGCACTATTTAGGAAGAAATCGCCAAAGCAAAACTATAACTGAAAATGAGCATTGTATGGTCAGTTACAACATAATCAAGTTCAACAAACTCAAAATATGATTTTCGTTCTTCAATTCGTTTTGCTGATCGAGAGAAGTAGGCATAGACTTTCATAATAATACATTCAACATCAAGCAATAAATAACTATTAGCATGTTTAACAGAATTATTCAAAATATGAGAAAAACAATTTCCTGAAACTATAAATTGCAGATCAATGTGAAGAAGAACGAATGAATAATCAGACCTCTTATCAGATTTGGTTTAATATCTCAAAACAACGTATACAATGAATGATTGGCACCAAAGTTAACATTTGTATTATCGGCTCCTAAAGCTGTTAAACCTTCAATAGTCGACCCATTGCTCATCATTACTTCGTGTGTATTGCGAAACAATTCATTGGCTGTTTCACCTGGATATTCAATTACTTCGATTAGACCTAGTTTAAACAATGGTAAGAAATTAAAAAGATATCAAGAGCAATCAACGATCATCATACCGCATTTAACACCTTTATCAGAAGAATATTGTACAACGAACGGAAATACTTTGGAATTTCCTCTGTTGGTAGCACCATATGCAAGAAAATAATAGGTATTTTTCTGTACACCAACAAGAACTTCTTTGACAAAATACGGCGAAAGAACATCACAAGCGATGGAACCTACAAAATTATTAGGATTGAAAACGATAAGAAGGCAGTTGTAATAAAGCTTACGCGCTTTTGTTCGACCACATGTCATATTTTTTGCAATGGTACACGTAGGAAAAGCGGTTTTGACAACGGAAACAGTACAGCCTTGTGATAAGTATGAATGAGCATGTTTAACGCCATGAAATACAAATGTTGCTTCAATGGCTGATAATTTATCTAATTCAGTACAGGGTGTAAAAAATGTTTCAAGTGAGTCTAGAATTCGTTAAGAAATACAAAAAAAGCTTGAGAAAATAAATTCAAAGGAATCGGACTTACTTTGTGTTTTGTTTTTCATAAATTCTTGATGTTTTACCGTGTCTACATGTTTATCTAGATGGTTTTTGCCCCCACCATAAACCGATATGTCACAATTAGACGATGAATAACGTGCTTTGGTAGGATCATGGCGAACTTCTTGTAAAAAGTCACAATATTTGGGATCTTTCAACCAATCTTTACTAAAAACACCTTTTTTTGTGTCAGAAACACCGTTGCGTTTACGTTTTCTAGTGATGTTTTGTGTTTTTTTATGCTTATTCTCAACTGAACTTAATGAAAAGTCATCCTCGAAAATATTTACTGTCATGGATGATGCCATGATGCCAAAAAGCATACGATCTTTCAATGATTTCTCCAATTTAGCAGCTAGTTATCAATAACTAGACTATGCCTTTATACATAAAAAAAGAAATGAATAGATTTTTTTTGTCCTGTCCTAT